ATTATTATTCCTATTTTCCAGATAGGGAGCCTGAGGCTCCACAGAGAGTTAACGTCACTTGCCTAAAGCCACACAGCTGTTCCGTGGCACAGTGGCCTGGGGATCAAGATGGCTGGCTGGACTGAGCTCTTAAACACTGTGCTGTAATGCCTGTTGATACTGAGGTTATTAAAATGCTGGTGATGAGAAAGATATAGTTAGACCCAGGTTGTCATGAAAAGCATCAATTACAGTAATATATGCATTTTCTAACCTTCAATTTGATTGGACAAGTGTGGGCCTCAGCCACCTCCTGCATCTCCATCAGTTTACCTGCATCTAATCTCAGACCCCAATGCTAATGACTGAGACTAAAATGCTATTTTTAAAAGGGGAGTCATGTGAGTGGGTAACCATGATACAGGAGTACTACCCGTGCCTAATAGATACTTAGGACTCTATATATGGCACCGCTTCTTATGCCTCCCCTACCCCACCTAAAGGACTGCTTCCAAATTCCTGGTGGGTGAGATTCAAGCAAGCCTCGGGGTAGAAGACGTGGCTCCTACCTGCGTCCTTGTTCTGTAGTGGGTGGATATGGTCCCCAGAAGGAAGTGGCAAGACCTGTGGGCAGAGTGTTCTGGACTCAGAGCTGAGCAGCTTCCCTTCCTCCGGAGGCTGCCATGTGGGGTGGGGCTCAGAATGGCTGGAGTCTGTGCTGGGCAGAGAAAGCCCACCCTTGTCTCTCCTGACCACCAACTCCTTCCTCTTCAGATAAATATGTGAGAAAATGAAGAATCAAACTCACCTTCTAGGAATGAGGTTCAAATTCAGGGCACAAAATAAGAGAATCACCTTGGAGAAAGAGTTGTCCTACTATAACATGGTCATCGTTAGTATTCATAGCATTTGTGTGAGAAATTGATTATTCATGAGTTTTCCCACTCTCTCTTCCCGCCTGGCAGTTGAAGAGCATGCAGCCCACAGGGCAGTGAGCACCGCATCTACATTCAGTGAAATCTGTCCAAGAAGGCAGGCGAAGCTCCCCTGGGCACTTTAGTGCCACTGTCCTGTGCTGACAGAGGGACTGAGGGTGACTTGGGTCCAGGCAGTCTTTGAGGTACATTGAATTCAGAAGACATTTACAGAAACAAATGTGACAGAGTTGGAACATACGTGCTAGGAGAAAAGGCTCCAGGAACTGGGGCGGATTGAAACAATATACTTTTGCACTCTCTCTTCCCAAGACCAGATGATGCTGTGCGGATGCTGTCTCTTTTAGTGCATAATTCTAGCCTCTGCAAATAATACCAATGCATGTGACTATTATGTGTGTAAATACTTATCTCTTCTACCCTTCCATCAGAAATGTAGTTTAAGGAAGAGCAGGAGGATTCCTAGGATGTTAGTTGTTCTGGTCAGTTTTTTCACTACTACACCCTGAGCAGAATCATTGTACGGGAGGAAAAGTTTATTTGGGGGCTCACACTTTCAGAGGTCTTAGTCCATAGGAGGCTGGCTCCATTCCTTAAGGCAGAAGAGTGTGGCAGAGGGAAGCAGCTCACATTTTGATCCAGAGGCAAGACAGACTGTACTTTCCAGAGAGATATGCCCCAAAGGCCTGCCTCCAGGGACCCACCTCCTCCAGCCATACCCTACCCACCTTCAGTTACCACTCAGTTAATCCCAAAGAGGTTAATTCACTGATTGGGTTAAGGCTCTCATAATTCAATCATTTCTCCTCTGAACCTTTTTGCATTGTCTCACGATTAAGCTTTTGTAGGCACACCTCATATCCAAACCATAACATTAGTAGAATCATTCAGACCGTGGATCAACGAGAGGCCACACAGTTGGGATGAAACCTTTGCTGAGGGGAGAGGTGTCATTGTGTTATCTTAAATTGCTAGAATTCTCTTTGTAGCCAAGACCTATAAAATTAGCCTAAGCCTAAGTAAAATAGTTGCATTTCAAGAAAAAAATTCAAATTCCTCCCACATGGTAGCAACAAAGCAAAGGGTGCACTGTCACTAAGAAATCAGGGGATTTAGGGGAAGCTGACAGAATTCTGCCAATGTCACAGACACATGTGACCCATTCCAGGAACCAGGAATCTCATTTTTGGTTACCAAGGAGCACAACTGCCAATCACGGGGTCTCAAACTAAAAATAGACACATTTTGCCTTAACTTCTTATATGCTTACTCCTCACCAACCATGGGATTTACAGGCCATCAAAGTTCTTATGTGTAGTGGCAGAATCATAGTTGGCAAGATTAAGGTCTTATAAAGTATAGGCAATTGGGAAACATCAAAGTTGTGTTAATATATGTGATTAAAACAGTAAAAGTTCTAGAAGGCACCCACCCCCTCCACATAACCACCATTTAATCCTGAGGTGTCCATGTGTGGGGACCCTGGCATTGCTCCCTGGGTCATTTGGGAGACAGGGCCCACATCTCCACTGAGGCAGAGAGGCTCCAGCAGCAAACCTGCTCCTCTGAATGTATTAGAACCAGCCCTCACTGGCTTGGAATGAAAAGCCCTTTGTCATCACTAGGACCAACCTCCCTTAAATTCCTTCTCTCGCTTCTTCCCCTCCCCACACACACCCCCCTCCTTCCCTTGTAAAAATCAAGTCTAGGCAATTGTATAACCAACCCCCTAACTTCTCACAAATGATGCGGGTGATTAAGGGCATGTTTTATGAAGTCTGGCCCTTCATTTGAGAGGGTCAATCTCTGTAATCTCCTTCTCCCTCCTCCCTGGAGATAGTCCCCTATTGCACCCTACAGTACCCTCTTAAGGGTCTGTGCAGGAGTGGGGGGTGGGTAATAATTGTGGATTTTCCTCTAAGGAGTCAGGATATTTTTGGTAACAAGTGTAAAACAGTATGATCTCAAAGCCTGGAGTCAAACATTGTTGCATATAAAATGCTTTAAAAAAAAAAAAAACAACTTTTATAACTGATGCTGAGCAGGAGACTGGGGGAGAGAAAAGTGATCTGGATGTGGGGGCATTAGGGAGGAAGCAGAATGCAAAGATAAATAGGGAATAGCTTTTTGGATGTGAGCAAATAATATTTCATTGAAGGATTATGTAAGACCTACTACATATGTTCAGATCTCTACGTTTTCAGACCACAGAATGAAAAGAGGCCCAGGGCTTATGAGAGCAATACTGATTGCCTGTCAGGTGGCCAGAGAGGAGCTTGGGCCACAATATCAGTTAAGACTTAATCAGCTACCTGAAAACACCCAAAATCACAGACTTAAAGAAAATCAATCCCTTAGTGATCTGGGGCCAGTGATCCAGGGTTGGCATGTTAGCCCCATTGTTACCAGGGACCCGGCCTGGTCAGGCCTTCTGCGCTACCATCCCAAGACCCTCCTCAGGGTCCAGGATATTGTCACGTCTCCAGCCATCACATCTAACCTCAGAAGTCACACTATCTCTGCAGTTTACCCTTTCTTGGCTAGACCTTAGTCATGTGGCCACATATTCCTATAAGAAGACAGAGATTGAGAAATGTCATCTTTTGGCTGAATGTCAACAGGCCCAGCTAAAATAAGACATTGAATAAATCAAGAAAAGGGTAGAATCCCCATAACTGAGAAAAGTCATAGGAGTTCCTCTTCCTGGGATAGTGTTCACACTACATTCAGGCACAGCTCAAGGGCAGAGGTAAATGGGTTTCTGGCCTAGCAGGAAGCAAGGCAGACAGTAAGTGACAATCAGTTGACAACCTATGTTCTGTTCTCAGGTCTGCAGATGTAATGCAGGCAGTACCAGACAGGGCTATGTGAAGCCCCCTGAGCATCAGGACGGTCAGCCTGGCATCTCTTTGATGAAAATTCCATTCATCAAACACTCCCAACATTTCTGTCTGTCCTGAGAGAAGGGTGGGGGAGAAGTAAGCAATTAGAGAGGCCGAGCTCCACCCTGAAATCAGCCCCTGAGTCATTCCTCAGCCAGCACCCATCAAGGGCCACACGCTCAGAAACACTAGAGAATAAGAGTCCCGTCATGAAACCCCAAGTCTGTTTTTGTTTTCTTAGTGAAGGATTTGGGGCTCTCAGCTTGCTGAGGTGCTAAGCTATGATGTGGAATAATTCTGTGGCATGTGGGGCAAGCTGGAGAACTTGGGAAAACAGAGGGACACGGCCTTTCCTTCTCACCTGGCCAGCCAGTGGCCCCCAAGCCTGGTTTGCTGGGAACCACGAGGGTGTACAAGTTCAGTCCACAGGTTGTAAGTGGGTGTGATTCTAATTAAATCTGGAGCCCATGTCACCCACCCACAGCTTCCTGCCTTGGCTGCTGTGTGGTGGTCTCAGACTATCTGAGGTGAAAGACCAGTTTTTGTTTCCGTTTCTATTTCCAGTCTGTCAGAAAAATGAAATGAATTTATTGGAAAAAATCATATTACCAAGTTATACAAAATATAAACTCAGACTTCTGTTAGATTCAACTGGTAGAAAATGGCTGGGTCCGAGTGCTCTGCAAGTTTCTAAAGACTACCTCAGTTCCTGGACCTAGTTTGCATGTAGTGAAGAATTTAAAGTCATTGCTGCTAACCCCATGGACTTTACTTTGGACTTCAGTGTCCCAGAGGCCCAGGGTCGAGGACCACTGGGGAACTGTGGACCTTCCTGGCTCCACCTGGGGCAATTCTAAAGGAGCTTGAGGAAGCTCCCCCTGGGAAGAGAGCAGGCTGGCCAAGCTGGGCCTCGCTGTCTCATCCCTCTCTTTAGCCCCTCCTGCCCAGCCAGTTGCTGCTTCAATGCATAGTACTACCATAGTCTCCATGTGCTGGTGAAAATTTTATTACCTGCTTGTGCATGGAAAAGTGAAAGGTCACAGTGAATTGCAATCACTATGCACGCTCTCTGCCTGAACACGGCCTGGGGCATGGCGCTGGTTTGCTTAGCACAGCAGAGGACCAGCAAGGCGATGCTATCTCCAGCTGGCATGGCCTGGCCAGGCCCGGCCAGAGGGAGGTCACTGTGGGCTCTGTGTTGCAGTTCTCCAAGGAGAGACACATCATGGACAGGACCCCCGAGCGGCTAAAGAAGGAACTGGAGGAGGAGCTGCTGCTGAGCAGTGAGGACCTGCGGAGCCACGCCTGGTACCATGGCCGCATCCCCCGACAGGTACATGCTTGTCCCCTCAGGCAGTGTCAGCCTAGTGGCCCTGCAGGGTCCCACTCCAAGATCATGTGGGAAAAGGCCTCTGTTTAGCTAAAAGCCAATGCCATAAGTGAGATGACTTAGACTCCTCTAGGGAGACCTTGGGAAGAGCAAAGGTCAGTAACCCAAAGTACATTTCCACATGGCCAGTAAGTGGATGCAGGAAAAGCCAGCATTCCTGTGGGCTGTCAACACGAGTCAGCAGGAGGCCGCAGCCACGGGGGCAACAACCTTAAGGAGACCCGGCCTGCCAGGCTGTGGCTCAGATGGCTGAGCTCTTGGCCAGCTGCCACCACCTCCTGCCCTTTGGAAACTGCCTCCTGTTTAAGGTGGTAGCTTAGCTTCAGGGGATGGGGCGTTGGCACCGCCTGTCAAGCGGCCTCTGCCCTGGTGGGGCCAGCAGCTGTTCACTCTGTCCTTTACCTCTTGTATCCCATGACCCAGAGATGGGAAAGAGGAGGAACAATGCCAGTGACCACAGATACACAGCCTGGAATTTACTTTGTGTGGTTGTCCTTGGGGTCACTGCCGTGAATGATGTTTCTATTTAATGCTATGAAAATTGAAAAATAGATTAAGTCTGCAGAATTGAGGTATAGAATTTCCTTTGGGTTTTTACTGTAAACCTGATCTGGTCAATTATTAACCAAGGACAACATGACAGGAAATGGGTGGGGGGAGGGTGACATGTTGTAAATTAACTGTTTTTAGTTTAGCAGATTTCTCAGCACTTTCAAAGAAATAGTTCTTATTCTAACCTAGCTTTTTTTTTTAAGTGTAAAATTGATTGTATAAAATAGAGATAACAAAAAAGAAGAAAAACTCCCATCCACCATTGTCTCCTGGAGATAACCATGATGAACATTAGATATAGATCCTCAATCAAGCAGGAGATGAGTGCATATTACTATTTGTAGCCTGCTTTCTTCACTTAGTGATAATTTCCTGGAAATTCTCACCTGCTATAAAATGCTCTGCTTGATACTTACGTGTGGACCAGTCTGTATCATATGTAGATCCATTATATGTGCACATCACAATGTATTAGACACTTAGGTATTCTAGCACTCTGACCAAGATCCTACAAGATAACTACTGTGTTCATACCTAATAATTTTTCCACAGGATCAATTCCAAGAAAAGGCATTTCTGTGAAAACATTTTTAAGTCAAAGATGCAATTTTAAGATAACCATGGTAGCATACTATTTTAAGCTAACCGACATATACCATTGATTGAATGCTGGAATATCCCAGAAAAATTGTCAGAGTTTATTCAACTGACAAGTGACACCAACATCCTTCTCCTTATTATGATGACAGAATCTGTTTACCGTTTGTCATGAGTGCAAATTTTCAACAGAATTCCAATCTGGATAACTGAACATCATAGCAACAACAATAATAGTTATAGCCAACTCTTTATCCCTTTGAATCTTTACAGCCACTCTGTAGGTAATATTATTGTCCCTATTTTACAGATAACGAAAGTGAATCAAAATTGTAACGACTCCTCCAGTTACCCAGTGAGGCAGACTGCAGAGCCAGGCAGTGGGGCTGCAGAACAACCAGGCTGCACCACGTGTAAATTCTCCTTTTGCTTGCCGTCATCATAGTTAGTCATTTTTGAGCACCCACTGTGTTTCAGGCACTGTGCTAGTGCTTGGCATGTTATGAATGCAGATTCATCATCCTCACAATGACTTGGTGAGAGGAGAAAGCCCAACCTGGCTTTGTTCCAGGCTTCCCCAGCCAATGATTGGCATGTCCAGAATCCAGCATGTGTCTGATGCTACAGATCCACCTATGGATCCCTCCTACCATTGGCCAGGCCTAGAGAGGGACACTTCCAGAGACCAACCGATACCCATCTTCTCACTCCCCTGGCTGGGGAGAGAAAACCAGACCTGCCAGGCACATGTGTTTTTCCTTTCTTGTTCTCTGTTGCTTTACATCCTTCCAATCTTTGTGGAGATCTCTTCTCATGAGGCTTTCCCAAGGACCCTCTTTGGAAGGACAGCCCTCACTCTCCTCCTCCCTAATATTCTCTCTGCCTTCCTGTCTCTTAACTTTACCTCCGATGCACCACACCTTTCGTTCAGGTAGCCTCACGCACCCCAAGCGCTCCACGAAGGGCAGGAGATCCCCGGGCGCCTGCTTCATCACTGCGTGCGGCAGGTGCCTACAGCAGTGCTTGGCACGTAGAAGGTGGTCCGTCAATAGATGTCAGATTTGACAAGCTCAGGAGCCAACCGAGGAAGAGACACCAGGTGCTGTCCTCCCTTGGTCCCAGCACTCTGCAAAGGCACAAGAGTCTGCCCTCCCTTCTCCTCACTCACCACTTTGTCCACAGGTGTCTGAAAACCTTGTGCAACGGGATGGTGACTTTCTGGTTCGCGACTCTCTGTCCAGCCCCGGAAACTTTGTCCTGACCTGTCAGTGGAAGAACCTGGCTCAGCACTTCAAGATCCACCGGACGGTTCTGCGGCTCAGCGAGGCCTACAGCCGCGTGCAGTACCAGTTTGAGATGGAGAGCTTCGACTCCATCCCCGGCCTGGTGCGCTGCTATGTGGGCAACCGGCGGCCCGTCTCCCAGCAGAGCGGTGCCATCATCTTCCAGCCCATCAACAGGACGGTGCCTCTTCGGTGTCTGGAGGAGCGCTATGGCACGTCCCCAGGCCGGACCCAGGAGGGCAGCCTCACCGAGGGAAGGCAGGACGTGGCCAAGAGGCTGAGCCTCACCATGGGTGGCGTCCAGGCCCGGGAGCAGAGCTTGCCCAGGGGGAACCTCCTCAGGTGGGTCAGGGCTTCCTCTGGGGGTGCCAGGGCCTCCAGGCCTGGTTGGGGTACCTGGGCTTAGTTCAGCCAATGAGAATAGAGAAGCAGTAAAGGATGTTGGTGAGAATGCCCATAAGGCAGTGCACAGTTAGTTCCCAACTGAGTTGTATCAAAAACAAGTGGCACCAGGCACAGCAGCACACACCTGTATTTCCAGCAATTTGGGAGGCTGAGGCAGGAGGATCGCTAGTTCCAGGCCAGCCTCAGCATTTTAGTAAGACCATATCTCAAAATTTTTTTTTAAATATTTATTTTTTGGTTGTAGTTGGACACAATACCTTTATTTTATTTATTTATTTTTATGTGTTATGAGGATCGAACCCAGGGCCTCACATATGCTAGGTGAACACTTTACCGCTGAGCCACAACTCCACCCCCTCAAAATAAAAATTTTAAAAAGGGCTGTGGATATAACTGGGTGGTAGAGCACCTCAGGTTCAACCCCCAGCACCCCCCCCCCCGGGGCAGGGCTCACCAAGCTGATTTGTACAGGACCTGTCTTGTGGAGTCAGAGGTCCATGTGCATTTTACCTAACAGTGTAGGAGAGAAAGAGAGAAGAGGCTGGGACCTAGACCACCCCGGCCCCTCCCTCCTGTCATGCAGCCTGACCCAGCTCCTGGCTTCTCAGCTGACGTGCATAACCAACATGTTTAATTCCACTCACTGGTTTTCTGTCTGGACCAAGAGGACATGTCATGAACTGTAATTTCTATATTGCAAAAATTTAGAACTCTGAGTAACACAAATTACAGCTGTGTGCTGCCTGGAGGCTCCGGTACATGTTAGTCAGCATCTGGCTACGGCTCCATGGCTCCTATGCTTGGCTCCATGCTGACCAGCTGTGCAACCCCAGGCAAATGCTTTCACCTCTCTGGGCTTCCCTTTGTTTATCCAGAAAGATGAAGCTTAAGCTAAGCAAAGTGCTTAGAAAAGTATAGGCGCATAGTACTAGGTAAGTACTAAGAATCCTAGTAACTATCAGTATCTAGGAGGCAATAGAAAGTCCAACTAACTCAGGGTAGTTGCAGACAAGGAGACAAAAATGGAAATCCTCCGTTTCAGGGAAAGACTGAACTCAAGATCCCTGGAAACATTAATGGGTGCTTTTTCTTCTGATCCCTTTGGGAATGGGGGCTGGCTGCTCAGCCTTTGGAGCCAGGAGTTAGTGTGGATGGAGCCAGTTTTTGGCAACACTCAGCTGGAAGTATGCTCAAGGAGTCTCCTGGTCTGCCCCCAGTGATCCTGGTTAAAAAAAAAAAAAAAACTTTGAAAGATAAGAAATGAAAGATTGAGAAAGTCTCCAGGTTGCCGAGGCAGGCCTCCAGAGCCACTCTGATTGCCCTTTGGAATGTACAGCCTGCACCACTGCGCTCAGGCGCTCAGGCAGAGGCCGGAAAGGCCTGGAGGCGGGGGCAGGGTGGGCCAAACACCAACATGGCCCCTCTGGCCATCGCCCTGCCCTGCTCCCCCACGTCAGCCCTGGCCTGATGCCACGCTCCCTGACGTCAGGCATGCTGGTTGGCTGGCAGCCGGCCGGCCCCAGGCAAAGGTGTGCTCTCAACCAGGTTACCGTGGCCCTGCTTACCGCAGGCTGTTCTGGCCCTGGCGTTTGACCAAGGGGTGGCCACTGATTACATGTCGTTTCTCCAAAGCCATTTCCATTGGAATTTACCCTCTGCCTTGCCTTATCTCTGAGGGGTTCCTGGACTTACTCTGTTGCTGGGAGCTTTTTTTTTTTTTTTTAATTTGTTTCTTTGGTGCTATCAAAGGTAGGAAAGAACTTGATGATTTCCATAACATAAGAATGTCTTATGCTTATGGCCAGGCCAGTTAAAGTTTGTCTAAGTTGGCTGGTGGGGTGCTTTTTCCTGTAGCAGGAGTTTCCACTGCTGGGTGCCGATGAGGGACATTCCCTCTCTGATCTGGAAGGACAGACCTTCCACCTCTTGCCAGTGTGGGGGTGCGTTGCGCCTCTGGCTGCTGCCTGCCGACCAGGCTAGTTGCCTTTCCAGCTCAGCGGGATGAGGTGTTCTGGGGGTCCCCCCAGGCAGCCAGGAGGATGGGTGTGACAGCCTCCCCTGCAATCCCGCAGATGACTTGGGGGATGCTGAGATTTGCTCTGAAATGGAAAGTGCCCCACAGCTTCCTTCCAGCTGACACGGTGAAGCATTGTGGAAAATGCATGCTGGTTAAACAAGTCGTTCCCCTGGGGTCTGAAAGTAATTTTAGGCTCTGTTAAAAGTACACATTCCAGTTCATCAGATTTTCCCGGGAGTACCATGAAACTTTTACCCTGCTCGGTTCAACAGGATGGAAGGGCTGAGAGGAGGCACCCTAGGACTTAGCTGCCTTGGTCCTGGGGGCGTGGGATGGAGCACACGGCAGGGTTGTAGAGTAATCGCCCCATCAGTAATTCCTCCTTCGTGGACATTCCTTTACTGTCAGGGTATGCATAGCAATCTCATTCTGAGCAATTTTCTCCCCCCCCCCTTTTTTTTTAACTTTCCATGACGTTGCCTAAAGGTTTTACAGCTTAATGACATGTTTCTGCCCCGCTTGTCTTTGACTTCAGGAATAAAGAGAAGAGCGGCAGCCAGCCAGCCTGCTTGGATGACATGCAGGACAGGAGGGCCTTAGCCCTCAAAGCCCACCAGTCGGAAAGTCACCTTCCAATCGGTACGTCTTTGGGAATTTTCCAGAAAAGGGGCACCCTGTTGTCTTGCTCTATCTAGTCACCTAGATTAAAAAAGGACCCAAGGCTCCCGATTGGAGGGGAAAGGCTTTGCAGAACTGTATCTGGTTGCAAAGCGCTGAGCCTGCTGCTTATGAACCTTTAAGCCTTGTAATAAGCCTTCAAGGTGAGTGCGATTATCCCCATTTTGTAGTTAAGGAAACTAAGGCATAGAGACGTTAAGTAACCAGTCCCGCATCACCTAGCATTTGAACCCAAGTTTTCTGATTCCAAGCCCATGGCATGACTGGCTGCCTTCCTGATGAATGAGCCTACTCCCTCAGTCCCCTCCCTGGGCAGAGGTGGGTGGGTTGATCCTGGGGCTTCGGGTGGAGCAGCTGTCCAGAGGGACCTCCCTTCTCCATTCTCCTTTCAGAACCCGAGAAATGATAAAGTATGGGGAAACCTAGTAACCAAATACATTAATAGGCTGTGGGGTTGTTTGGTGTTTGTTTGTTGTTTTCTTTACATAAGTGGCCTTCCTTGGGACCATGAAGTGATTTTTCCTAATGCCCTTTCGTGAACTACTCTGTGTGGGTTGTGTCAATGTCTTTGTCTCCCTTTACGGTGTTTCTAGCTTTCCTTTTCACGCTGTCTGGGATCGGCCCTGGCTTTGAGAGTGACTCAGGATGCTTTATGCTATGTGGCTGGAGACTTCTTTTCTGAGGGCAAGACAGCACTGTTCCCTGTCCTCCAAGCTCAACATGTTTTCCTGCTCTGTCTGTGGCCAGAAATGACCTAGCAGCCCAGCTGTCCACAGGCTGTCCCTAGGATTTAGAATTGCCCCAGGAGTGTGGGGTGGGGCCAGCCTAGCACTCACAGAGTTCTAGACTGCTCTGGAGTGGGCTTGGGCAGCCACACCGTTTACTTTGGGGAGGGAAAATTGAAACCCAGGGTTATGAAGTGAGGGCTGGGAGCTGCCATGTCCCTCCAGTTTTGTTTATTCTCTGATCTCCACACAGCGAGTGTTCTTTGACCTTCTCTTATCCTCCACAGGCTGTAAGCTGCCTCCCCAGTCCCCAGGCATGGACAAAAGCCCCTGTCCGAACTCACCTGTGTTCAGGACAGGCAGCGAACCCACCCTGAGCCCAGCATTGGTTCGGAGGGTCTCCTCAGATGCTAGAACAGGGGAGGCACTGCGGGGGTCTGACAGCCAGCTGTGCCCCAAGCCGCCCCCCAAGCCCTGCAAGGTGCCCTTCCTCAGAGCTCCCCCATCCCCAGCTGCCTGGCTCAACTCGGAGGCCAACTACTGTGAACTGAACCCAGCCTCTGCTGCAGGCTGTGACAGAGGAGCAAAGCTGCCCTTACGTGCCCAAGGCAGCCATGTAGAACTGCTAACAGCCAAGCAGAATGGGGTGTCTGGTCCCCGGAACTCTGGAACCAACTACTTGATCCTTGATGGGGACGATGGGGCCAGACCTTGGGAACTGCCAGCAGCACAGATGGGTGATGGACAGGAGGACAAGGACAAGTTTGTAATACCTCTCCTGGAGACTGTCTCTTCCTTCAGGCCCAATGACTTTGTGTCAAAGCTCCTTCCTCCAGAGAACAAGCCCCTGGAAACAGCAATGTTGAAACGTGCAAAAGAACTGTTCACTAACAACGACCCCAAGGTCATCGCCCAGCACTTGTTGAGCATGGACTGCAAGGTGAGTGCTCGGGCACTAGGTTCCTTCTGGCCTTTTGAAGGTTCGTGAGAATGTCTGTCTTGCTTCTCTCCTCCTTGCCAGTTAAGTGCTTTGCTTATGTCTGAAGTCTGAAGATAACACAGGGGTGGGGATTTATTTACAGGGTGGGAACCACGGTCAAGACAACCTTTGTCCAGAAAGCTTGTAAACTTCACCTTGGACAGAGGGAAGGCAGGGTCCGCTCCCTGCACCCACCCCTACTGGTGACAGTTGCTTCAGCACAATCTCCTCCTCCCACCTGGTGCTTAGTTAAAAATTCTCCCCTGGACTCAACCCCATCAGAACTGGCAAGAGCCAAGCCAAAGGAGAGTCAACTACAGATGAAAAACTAGTTTTTGGAGTAGCAGAGTCTTGGCTATTTTTATTTCATTATACATTATACTTACATACATTATATATTCTGTTACTAAAATAGTCTTTAGGATAAGCATTTTTAAAGCCACCTGGATTTTTTTTTTACAATAATTGCTTGATTTTTTTAAACAAATTATATGGATTAAGATAAAATTAAAATCACACAAATTCTAGTTTCCTGGTGATCACCATTGGCAACACTTGGTGCATGAAAAAAAATGCCACATTACCATATGCTCTGTAAATATCCTTTGTTTACCACACAGATGACCCTGGCCTGTACATCCTTTTCCAAACCTGGAATCTGTTGCTGAAAGTCTCTGATGACTGTCTTTCAACATCATTTTTGATCAGACGTGGTTCTTTCAGGTGTGGGTGGCCTTTGTTCAGAGGAGGTCCCAAGGCAACCTCATCATTCACTGAGATATTTCTGGACAACAGGTGTCTTGGGCTGAGCAGGGCTCAGCCACCTCCTCAGGATAAAGTGGCTGATCCCTGCACATCTGAGCAGCAGACAAGGCCTCAGTGAAATTTAAAGCCCCTTTTCATTCATAGTTTAGGGAACTCAATTAGCTTCAAAGGTCAAGGGTTATTTAAGAATTGGATTTTTCTTCCTGAGTCAGGAATCGTGGCTGGAAATCCAGTCTTTGCCCCGCCCCCCCCCCCACACTCCCCAGCATGTTGGGTCGTTGATGAAGGGCTCCCCACAACAGCCTTAAGGAACATTATTAGATAGTTGCTGATGGTCCTGGGAATAAAAAAAAAATCCTTTCCTGAAAACAGAGCCTGAGGGGTGACTCGGTAAGTGGCATACCTCACTGTCCAGGCCTGGGAGGTGAAGCTTTCTGGGTGAGGCAGCACCTCTATTAAGGGGCCCTGAGAAGAAAGCAGGGAAACTCTGCTCTGGAAAAACAAGGGCTTGTTGTCTTGATGGGCTGGATTGGCTAGGGGTCCTTGGACAGTGCTCACAGGTGATCAGATAATCTGCCGTGTTCAATTCTTACCTCACTTTAAAGCAAGCTAAACCTGTTCTGAGGTAAAAGAATTGAGGACTCCTGTTAAAGTCAGCCAGTCACACTGAGCCCTGGATATGAGAGCAGAACGTGCTAATAGGCCAGGAGTGAGATTCTAGGCTGGCTTGAGCCTGCCTGGGTTCTCCATAGAGGAAGCTCTTGTGAAAACATGGGTCTGGGCAAACTGAACAGTTCCAAGTGGAATAAATCCTTCTGTGGCCTCAGGTAGGGCTTGATGGTGGTCGAGGAAGGGGAGAGGTACCTGCCCACTTTTTGCAGTACTGGAACCTCCCCACTGCCTTTGACAGCTATGAAATAAGAGCGCAAGTGTTCTCAGTTGAAGAACATGCAGTCCACCCTCGCTCTTGCTCTGTGGGGCCTCATGCCCTCCTGTTGGGGCCTCGCTTTCTTGTCTGCTCTCGGGCACCCCTGGCAGTGGAGGAGCCAGCCTGGGCTCTGCCTCCCCCAGCCCCAAGGGCAGGGCTGCATCCAGTCCTTCCTGCTGTCCACCAATGTTTCCTTCTTCTCTTCCTGGAACCAGCAGGCACAACCAGCATCTCTTAAGAGGAAAATTCTTCTCCACCCCAAATGTAGCAGCAGCCAGATGAGGCCACCCAGGAGTCAGAATCAGGCGCCAGGCAGCATCTGGGCCCCATGTTCCAGTTCCCACCCAAGCACACAGCCCAGGGATAGATGATCAGAAGGCCATCAGGATAGCAGAGGTCCTGAGAGCCCTGGAGCCTGCCTGCCCAGCAGTGTCCAGCTTCTACCCCCAAGGGCCTGGCTAGGGGCCTTGAGCCACTACCACCAGGAACAGCAAGCCTCCCCTTATCCTGTGCCCCACCTGCTCATCTTTGAGCAGTAGTTAAGAGCTTGACCTCAGGGGTGAGCTGCCTGAGTCTGAATTCCCCTTGGCCACAGTGGCTACAGGGCTCTTTCTCTCCCTAACTATCAGATGGAACATAGGGACCCAGATAATCAGCGTAGACTAATGGAAATAATACAGGTAAAGCCATGGACACCTTGCCTGGCCCACTATGAGCATTGAGTATTTCTTGGTGTTCTGTATTCAGCCTTAATTGACTGCCTATTGTGTGCCAGGCTGGCTCATGGTCTCTGCCCTAGAGGGACCGCACTGCTGTCTGATGGAGGAAGGGTGGGGAAGGACAGTGATAGGGAACTTGGACCACAACCCAGGTGGGAGATGCTCTGCAGGGGAAGGAAGGCACAGAAGCTGTGGTCCTCCTTAAAGTCAGGGTGCTCTGAGTTCAGAAGTCTGAATAATTGGCCAGACAAATGTAGAAAGCATCTTGTGCTTGGTGGGAAGGCACATGTGCAGAAGCTCAGATGTCAAAAGGTATGGGGAGGGGCTGGGGTTGTAGCTCAGCGGTAGAGTGTGCACCTAGCATGCGTAAGGCACTGGGTTCAATCCTCAGGACCACATAAAAATAAAATAAAGGTATTGTGTCCACCTTATAATAAATAAAATAAATAAATAAATAGATAGATATTAAAATTAAAAAAAAAAAATCCATGGAGAGAGAGGTTGGTTTACAGAAGATTCATTTGTGAGTCAAAGAAGGTAGGGATGGGTTAGGACAGGGAGGACCCTGGGGTCAGTGTTTCTAAGTCTCTACTTCTGGATTCTGCCTTTAAAGCACTTTATCACTGAGTGAGGGAGACAGACTCATGAGTGCATAGGTATGGATCTGAGCCCTCTGTGCTGCTTGGAGGCAGCAGAGCCAGCAAGCAAAGCCTGGCAATTTCATTGCACCTGGGAAGAGGGCCAGGCCAGGCATCCATAAAGGCTGCCCTGGGTCATGCAGCAGCCTCCAAGGCAGTGGCACGAGGAAGAAAAGGCAGAGTCCAGAGATTTAACAGAGCTGGGAGAGCCCAGACTTGGAGGACAGAGGGCGGCTGGAATACCTGTCTAGGATGCATATGCCACCCTGCCCTGCTGGGTCCAGCCCACAGTCCTCGCTCTGCAAGTGCTCCTCCTTCCTCCGCATCTGTGAGCCACACAGCTTTGGGCACCTCCTCGGGAGGCTGAGGCAGGAAGATCACAAGTTCAAAGCCAGCCTCAGCAATTTAGCAAGGCACGAAGCAACTTGGTGAGAATTTTTTTTTTTTTTTAAGCACTGAAAATTGAATCCAAGGATGCATTACTACTGAGCTACATTCTCAACTCTTTTTATTTTTTATTTGAAGGCAGGGTCTACCTAAGTTGCTGAGACTGGCATTGAACTTGGAATCCTCCTGTCTCAGCCTCCCGAGTCACTGGGATTACAGGCATGTACCACAACACCTGGCAAGACACTATCTTTAAAAATAGGAAGAGGAGCTGGGGTTGTGGCTCAGTGGTAGAGTGCTTACCTAGCATGTGTGAGGTACTGGGTTAGATTCTCAGCGCCACATATAAATAAATGAACAAAATAAAGGCCCATCAACTTCTAAAAAAATATTTTAAAAAAACATAGGAAGGGCTGGGGAAGCTCAGTGGTAAGGCACCTCTGTATCCAATCCCCAGAATCGCCCTCTCACCCCCAAAACAGAATTTTATTGTACTGTAGCTTAGCCTAGAGTGAGCAGGTGTGGCCCCTGGAACCCAGATGACAGACTGTAGGCTTCTCATTCTCAGAAGAGGGATCGCAGAATGCCTGTTAATACTTCCAGAACAGAGCTGAATTAGTGAGGAGGAGCCTTTTAAGGTCTCATTATATAAAGTGTGCATGGAGGGGAGTGTCCCCACAGAGGTAACAGGGTTTGGAACCTCTAATAGGACTGCTGTCTAAACACGTGAGGAAGTGTGCAGGGCCTGTATTTGAGTTGCCTTGCCAAGGCCAAGGTGCAAATCTCTTTACCAGGATCTGGCCAGAATTCTTCCCACTTCCACGTGGCAAATGATTCATAACTTATGTTTCCAAATAGCTTTTGGGTTTTGTTTTCTGTTTTGTTTTGTTTTGTTTTGTTGTTGTTGTTTTTGGTGCCAGGGATTGAACTCAGCTCAGGTGCCTAACCACTGAGCCACATCCCCAGCCCTATTTTGTATTTTATTTAGGGTCTCACTGAGTTGCTTAGTGCCTTGCCATTGCTGAAGCTGGCTTTGAACTCTCAATCCTACTGCCTCAGCCTCCCAAGCCACTGGATCATAGGCATGCGCCATCATGCTCAGCTCTTTTGGTTTTAAGGTCATTTGAATCCTTTGCAAAGTCCTTGAGAAAAGTGAACTTAGTTAGCAATTGGATTAGACAAGGGAAAACTGAGGCCCAGAGAGTGGAGGTGAGACTGCAGTGTGGATTCTGCATCCTGGTCTGGGTTCCCCACTGGTAGCTGTTCCAGGCTCATCTCCCAGGGCTCACAGTAGTTTCTTTGCTTAACCACAGAAGTTAAGGGTCAGAGTTAATAATATTGGCTAAACTTCCAGATGTTTTTCTGGCTTATGATGAAGACATCTGCACTGCTCATGTTCCTAGGTAATTATGGTCAAGGATAAGTCCACCAAACAGAGGAGAGGGACACACTCTCTGTGTCCAGGCTTGGTTAGACCCATTGGGTCTGCATGTTGTACTATCAGTCCATCAGTGTGCTGCGAGGCCTCGTAGCCCAGTTGGAGACACACCAACTCAGCTGTGACATTTCACTGCAGTGTGTAGTAACTGCAGATGGTCTACTGATGCCTAATTCAGATCAACTGATTACACTAGACTCGAGATGGGTGAGAGCTGATGCGGACAAAGACTTTGTTTAAGGGAAACCTCTCTCCTCTCAGGAGGACGTGTGGGTGTGTTTGAGACTTGGGGTTTCAAATCACTCTACATGTTTTTAATAGCTTCCAGACACACGGTGCATTCACTGCGCCCCGGAGAGATGTAATTAAGGGTAATAGCAGCCAGCCACGGCAGTTAAGTGAGAACATGAATCGCAAAGCCCACAGCAGAGGGGAGCTTGGACAGGATTCTGCTTCTCCACTGCAGGGGATGGTGGACTGCACATACGCAGTCCTGCTGTTGGCAACTGAACGTCGCAGCAGGATCCAGCCTGTGTCAGACAAAAGCCCAGAGAACTAAACCGTTCCCTGGCTGGGAAGGAATATGTACCAAATCTGCAGATTCTACAGACCAATTTGGGTGTTTCCCCAGTCTTTCTCCCCACTTATTAGTTTTATATTTCTGGTATGTGTATTAAAATGCGCAAATACATAAGAACCATATTTTTGGACACTGCTACTTATGAAGAAATGCAACAATGTAAAGTTCATCGCCACTGTCCCAGTTTAGTGTATTTCTTTTCACATGCTAAATATGCGCTGGGACCAGCCCACTTCCTGATCCAGTGAATTTCAGCTTTGCTCCTGACAGGTTGCTAGGATACTTGAAGTCTCTGAAGAGATGAAGAGGAACATGGGTGTGAGCTCAGGGCTGGAGCTCATTACCTTGCCTCACGGACACCAGCTTCGCCTGGACATAATTGAAAGGTGAGCAGTGCTGGCCTCTGCGTCTTCCACCTTCCAACTCCTTGCAGGTGTCAAAGCAGCCGGTTTCAGTGGGAGAGAGGAGCCCCACCAGTCCAGCCATGTCATGTCACCTGGCCCCGGGGTGACTCTTTTCAGAAGCCTGGAGATGCACAATGAGACAGTGCAGCACAGGTCAGGAAAAAGAGGACCTTCCTGGCCTTGTTCCTAGAGAGGGTGAGTCAAGAGAACAGCCTGTCTGAGGCCACTGGCTGACAGGCAACACAGGTGGGATGCTGCAAGCAGCAGAGATCTCCCTCTCCCTGCCACCTCAAGCCCCCTCAGGTCCTGCACATCTTTGTCTCTTTGGAGTTTAAGGTTCCTTGAGGAATTAGGTGGGAGTTGGTTCTGAACAACTTTGAAGGGTTGACTCCCCTGCAGTGGAGAAGCAGAATCCTGTTGTTGACAACTCTGGGCCTCCAGAGTGTCTGTCCTCTTATGAAAAGCCAGAGCCCTGGGTGCCCATTAAAATGCACATGTGTGAACATGGGATGTTTAGAAGACAGGGATATTTTTAAGAAACAAAGCACAAGATTAGATTTTCATAATACCACAAAAGCTGGGCTTTAGAAAGCTGATGTAGGCAAGACTATCTTGTTATCTTAAGTTTTCTGTTTCTACAACCAGTGCCCCAGGCGCCATGACTGACTGTCCACGGCTTTCCATGATGTCCTGAGTCACAGCACTGTTCCGTTCAACTTTCTATGGTGACAGAAATGCTCTTATCTGCACTGGCCACTAAAATAGCCACTAGCCACATATGACTGTCAGGCACCTGAAACACAGCTGTGTGGCTGAGCAATGAAAATGTTTACTAGTTGTAGTCAGATTGCCACATGTAGCCAGCAGACATCAGCCCCTAGAAAGTTAACCCTACATTTAAGGTAAGCTTCAGGGGCTCCGTAGAGCTGCTTTCAAGCTAATGTGGCTAGTAAAGCTGGTAAGACTGCCAGGCGCAGTGCTGCACGCCTGTAATAGCAGTGACTCCGGAGGCCGAGGCAGGAGGATGGCAAGTTCAAAGCCAACCTCAGCAACAATGAGGTGCCAAGCAAACTCAGTGAGACCCTGTCTCTAAATAAAATACAAAATAGGGCTGGAGATGTGGCCCAGTGGTCTAGTGCCCCTGAGTTCAGTCCCAGGTAACCAACACAAAAAAGCTGGTAAGGCAACCCCAGTGCAGCAGTTGCTTTGGCCTCAGAGCTGTTGCTGAACACCTAGAAAACACCCAGGATACTGGACTGTGAGATCAGAGGTGAGGAAGGGCCCAGGCCATACCTATGGCTTTAGCTTTGGGGACTTCTGAACTGCCCTGCGTTTCCACATCAGGCTTCTAGATTCTAGCTGCCTTCCTGCTCATGCCTGGCTCCCCCCTCTGTTGTTGTTGGGCTCAGCAGTCACTGTCTCATTTCCCCATTTCTCATGTGAAACATTTAGCTTGAAAGTTCCTCCAGGTTCCAGGCTTAATGAATCTGAACCTCCTTTTATGAGTAATTTGAAGTGTGCGGGGACATGCAAGCAGCAGAGCAGCCCAGGATCGGGGTTCTCCTTGACTGTTTTCTCACTTTCATTCTTGGTAGCATTTCTTTTCTTTTCTTTCTTTTTTTTTTCTTTTTTTTTTTTTTTTTTGGTACTTGTAGATGGACAGAATGCCTTTATTTTTATGTGGTGCTGAGGATCAAACCCAGTGCCTCACACATGCTGGACAAGCGCTCTGCCACTGAGCTACAGCCCCAGTCCTTGGTAGCATTTCTTTATTCTCCCAATTGCTTCTTGCCCAAGGCCTGGCTCCTTAGCTTGTTTCCTGTTCAAGACTGACCTATGGAATCTTTCTACAGAGGTCAGGAGAGGTTCGATTAATTACAGCGTGTCACTAAAGGCCAAGGTCATTGGGGTCCTGAACTGTCAAATGATATTACTCGCCTTTGAAAATCAAATAGAAAACCACCTTTATTTTTTAATTTACTATCTTGCTTATTATGGGCACACTGAACTGGAAATGTCCTTCATGTAATGGTTGACTGCCTCCTGCCACTGATTATTGATGCGGATGCTACAGACTTGCCATCCTGAGTCATTCACCGCCCAGTGGTACCCAAGAAGGGTACCACTGGGATGCAACACCAGGCCTTAAAGGAGAGCCTGAGTTGAGTGCAGTGGCACATGCCTCTCTAAACCCAATGACTTGGAGGAGGCTGAGGCAGGAGGATCTCAAGTTCAAGGCCAGCCTGGGCAACTTAGTGAGACCTTATCTCAAAATAAAAAAGGGCTGGGGATTACTTCTGTAGTAGAGCATTTGTCTAGCTTATGTGAAGCCCTGGAAAAAGAAAAAGAAATTAGGAAAAGAAGATAGATGGGAAAAAGGAAAGAAACAGAGACAGGACACCCAGGGAGAGAAGACATACAAATAAAGATGACGGTGGTAACAAGGACTATTCATTAGGTGCTTGTTATTCTTATACCCACGCAGCCTCTCTCTCCCAACACTTGCTCTCATTTTACATCTGAAGAAACTGAGGAGCCAAGCAGTTCAGTACCAGTGTAAAGTCATGTCACAAGTTAGCACCATGCACACTTATGTATAAACACTTGGAGATGCAGGAGGTCATTGCTTATTTAGTGATGCTGGACATTACTGCCCTTTGTTCAAGGAAGGCAAGAGAGAGACCAACACACCCAGGCACACACAGAGCAGGGCATGGAGTTAACACCTTTAGCTGTGAACTTTCAGGATAGCACAGCCTGGGAGTTCTAAAGGCATGTGTATTTTAGTAACCATAGCTATAAAGTGGGGCTTGACCTCCAGCCTGGAAAAAATTTGAGGCAATTCTGGCCCAATGCAATGAACTCCTGGGTTCAGAGAGAAAGAAGGGGGGGGGGGGGTCACAATCTGTGCTCCTTGCCACCCACTGACCCCATTCATATCCATCCCATTGTTATGTAAAGACGACTCTGCTTCCTTCAGAGTCTGAGTTTTGACCCAAGTAGTTCAGGAGGAGAAAAAGGATTGTTAAGGAAAATAAGACTTTTATTTTTTGAGGGTCTGATCTTTTATTTTTTTCTCCCTCTTTTTCTTTTTTTGGTTGAACTCAGGGATGCTTTACCAGTGAGTTATATGCCCACCCCTTTTCATTTTTTATTTTGATACAGGGTCCCATTAAGTTGTTGAGGCTGGCCTTGAATTTGCCATCCTCCTGCCTTAGCCTTTATGGCCCTGTGCCTGGATGGGGTTTGATTTAATAGGCAAATTCCTGCCTCTCAGCTATTCCGTCTATGTCCCCATCTCCATTCACTTCGTGGCCTCTTGACAGGGCTACAGAACACCATTCCTAGCTCCTCTCTCATTTCTTTGCTCTGATACCCATGTCATTTTCAAGCATATCTCATTTTTTTGACCTTTCTGTTCCCCTATCCTGGTGCTCAGTGACGATGGCTCCAGGCTTCCCTGAGGGGAACATTCCCAGTGTATATGCATGTTTTAGGGGGACATGGTGTCTCCTTCAACCTCTCACACACGGTTGCCCCAGGAGGTCTTCATGACCCCCAGTCCATGGTTGAACTTGACCCTGTGTTGGGGCATCTTGCTTGGTTGGTTTCTTTGTTTGGTGATACTAAGAAATTAACCAATTGTACTCTATCACTGAGCTAAATTCCCAGCCCTTCTTATTTTGAGTCAGGGTTTTGCTAAGTTGCTGAGGCTGATCTCGAACTTGCAGTCCTCCTGCCTTAGCCTCTCATGTCGCTGGGATTACAGGTATATGCCACTGTGCTTTGCTGGCATCTTATTTTTGACTGCATCATGCACACAACTTCGATGTGCAATAATAAGAGTTATCCTCATGAACATTCCTTGTCCTCTGTGGCCTTGACAGTGGCACAGCTTGTCTGCTGGGGTATGGTCTCTGTTGAGTTCAGTTCTCTGACCTGCCAACATATATCCCAGCAATGACAGCAAATGGCACAAAGTCAGTCCTATTCCTGGCCAATTTGGTGTAGTTTTCTTCTAGTCCTATTCCTGACCAGAGCCTGACCACTGATCTCCCCTTCAGACACAACACGATGGCCATCGGCATTGCAGTGGACATTCTGGGCTGCACAGGCACTTTGGAGGACCGCACAGCCACTCTCAACAGGATCATCCAGGTGGCAGTGGAACTGAAAGATGCCATGGGAGACCTCTATTCTTTCTCAGCCATCATGAAAGCCCTGGAAATGCCACAGGTGAATTTCCGCTTGCTTTGTGTGGCCTCTCAGGCATGTGTGTATTTAATGTTTTGGAAAGAGGTCTGCATTCCTATGCTTGGCAAGTCACAGACTATTTCAGTCAGTCTCAAAAGATAAACTGAATCTTAGTGAAAGCTGTTTTGATTAGCAGACAACCAAGAGCAGTGTCCTAAGTATTCCAGCTGTTTATAAAAACAGTGGATAGCCAGGCACAGTGGTGCATGTCTGTCATCCCAGCTACTTGGGAGGTTGGGGAAGGAAGATCCAAGTTTGAGACCAGCCTGAGCAAGTTAATGAGAGCCTGTCTCAAAATAAATATATTTTTAAAAGGACTGAAGATGTGGACATGGGATGTAACCCAGTGGTAGAGTACTTCTTAGCATGCATGAGGCTCTGGACCCAATCCCCAGTATCAAAAAAATAAAACAGTGCATAATTATTGCCAGTCCACACTTTGATGTACAATAACAAGAGTTATCCTCACAAACACTCCTTGTTCCTGGAGAACCATTGGAAGAAACATTTGGCTGAAGTGTGTTGTATAACACTCGTCTGGCTCAGGAGGTTTGTGGCCAGTTTGGGGTAATGACTGGGAAACCAAGGCTTTTGAGGAGCCTCTATCAGAGAATTCCTGGAGTGGTTTGTCTCAAAGTATTGTCCTCAGACTCTCCTGTTAAAAATTCAGATTTCTGGCTCACTTGCTATATAAATCAGAACCGCTAAAATTGGGTATTTGAATTTATCTGCCTTGACAGAGATTTTTGGGATGAGTATCAAACATGGAAACCTGTATTTGAAAGCAAACAGGCCCTCTTAAAGGAAGGCCTCCTTCCCTTTTCTATTCTTTCAAGCCCTAGATGCCTGTAGGACTCTGAGATTAAGGTCCTACAAGCCAAATCTGTAGCTAGTAACACCGTAACTGGTCTGTTAGCTTGGCTGTTTCATAGTCAGATTGTCTCTGAAATCCTGCCAGGTGCTCACTGAAAATCCATCAGTGCCACTGAGGGAAACAGCTAGTCACATGTCTTGCAAGTCAGTGTGGTAGGATAATAATTTCCTTAAATAAAGCAAAGTCACCTTAAAAGCAGGAAGCGGAACAACTTAACACCTTCTTCAGAAATTTTGGGGGAATCAATTACAATATTTCAAGAGCTTTAAATAATTCAGGTGCACTGGAATTTTTTAGGATCCATATTTGAAATATGTAACAGAAATTCTGCCATATTTCCATTCTTATTTCTACTATGACAATGGGTTATAATTTTTTGTTCAGGTATTTAAATTTGTATCACATTTATTTTCCCTTATCCAAAACTACCTGTAATTTGACAGCTGAGCCAAAAGGCTGCACTGTGTGTGTAAAGCTCTGCCCTCCAGCCACAGCTTCCTGAGAGCGTGGTAAAGGGGATGTTTTGTGGGATCACACGGTTGCTGTCCATGACATCAAACTCAGAAGCTAGAAGTTTATCCTAAACTACCCCATGCTTTTGGAGGTATTCTGTCCCCTCCAGTAGTGTCAGTGAGGGTCACAGTTTTCCAGAGTATTTAGGGGTTGGGGCGAGCCAGGGGACTGCTGGGGGTGGGAAGTGGCCCACCAGGGAAAATCCACAGGGAGTCACATTCACATCATCATCCTGATCTGCCCTTCTGCCACATCTGGGAGGGGCCCTTAAGAAAAGGGTAGCATGGAATATGGCAGAGGAAGACCAGTGACAATGTCGACCTTCCTCTTGGAATATAGGGGCGCTCTGTGAGACTAAGATGAATCTCAGCTATGCCAATGACCGGTTGAGAAACCAGGGCGAGTTACCTAATCTAGACTTTTGCTGATCTGTAAAATGAGGTCAAAATACCTGCCTCACAGGCATTGCAAAGATTAACTGAAATTCTTCAAATACTTCACATAGTGTTGGCTCTTATTCCTAAATACTAGTGCCCTTTCTTATTATGCAGAAAACTGAAGACACTTAGATCTGTTGGTTTTGTGGTATGAGTGGGGAATCATTTATCTTAGGACAGTTCAGTCAGTAGCATATGCTGATGTTGACTATATTGGCCAAAAGAAATAAGGAGGAATGAGCATTGGCATCACCCGGTCTGAGCAGTCTTCTGTGTGCCTCAGACATTACGAACAAACAACTTTAAAGTGCTTTGCCTCTCATTCCCACACCCTTACATCAGTACAACTCCATGGTAGACATGTGTAGTAATACCTACCCACATTTAATACTCGTGCCCTCTGGCCCAGCAGCTCCACTTCTGAAAATTTATCATCCAGATATTTTCACACATGTGAAACCTTTGGAGTAATAGCAAAATGTGTTTAACACTTACCTGAAGGAAACAGAACTCTGGTTTATCCATACAGTGGAACATTCTATAGGAGTTTGACAAGATAAGGCTGTTTGTTCTTTATGTACTTATATGGAATGATTTCCAAGGAAGGAAAATGCCTATAGTGTGATATTTCTTTTTAAAAGGTGTAGATGCAGGCACACATAAATCAAGCAGTTGGAGAGAGCTCTCAGGGAAGGCCCACTAGAGCTTGGAATAGGGGGTGGTGAGAAGTTACTTTTTCTCCACACTTTCCTTTCAATTGCTTTTAATAGTTTTACCAGGTGCATTTATCACCGATTGCAAAATTTAAGCAGAATGGTAATTTTCTTAAAGGAGCCTTTTTCAAAACAACTACTTTCTTTTTTCTAGATCACAAGGTTAGAAAAAACATGGACTGCCCTGAGGCACCAGTACACCCAAACCGCCATCCTCTACGAGAAGCAGCTGAAGCCCTTCAGCAAGATCCTGCACGAGGGCAGAGGTGAGCCGGGAGGGCAGGGCCAGCAGCAGTGGTTGCACCATTCATGTCCATGTATGGTCGAGCATATCATGAGGCCTCTGTTGTCTACAGGACTGTCGCTGGCTCAAGGCGCTTACCAGGTGACAGCCTCGCTTATCTGCATTGCTATAACCAGACACAGGCTACCAGGCACCTCAATCTGATAACTTCCAACAAATGACGTAGAAAACTGTATTCCTTATTCTTCAGAATCCACGTGTGTCCCCCCCAACAATGTGTCAGTCCCACTGCTGATGCCCCTTGTGACTTTAATGGAGCGCCAGGCTGTCACTTTTGAAGGAACTGACATGTGGGAGAAAAATGACCAAAGCTGTGAAATTATGCTAAATCACTTGGCAACAGCACGCTTCATGGCCAAGACTGTGGACAGCTACCGGATGAATGCGGAGAGGATCCTGGCAGGTAGGAGCTGTTTTTTTGTTAAGTCACTCTGTGTAGCAATTGCAATGAAGGAATGAAAGAACAGAGATGCCCTCAATCAGGAAAAAAGACCAAGGAGGAAAGATTAAGGCATGGGAATTCCATTTCCTGTATGATTGATCAGTACTTCCTCTTAATTCCCAATGACTCAAGTGTACCATTTCTCCTTCTGTGTTCTGACAGTGATATAAACAGCATCAAGAAAGGAGGCCCACCACAAGTACCTTTAGTGAGTGGATTGAAGGAGGTGGAGTTTTATCTAGACTTCATTCTTCTACATTCCTTCCCAGTCACACTGCTCTTGAAACTGGAGAGTGTTGGGCAGAGTGTTGTATAAACTGAATTTCTTATAAATACTATGGCAGTAAAAAGCAGCTTTCTTGGTTGGCTTGATAAACATTTATCACAGACAGGATACATGCACAACAATCCAGTTCAATGGGTATCCTCAGTGATCAGAGGCATTAAATGGGTATTTCAGTGCATGGTGGTAAGTGCACTGTGAAAGCATTTTGGAAAAGTAATTTGGACAGAGATGCAGGCAGAGGAAGCATGTTAGGAAAACTTTGAAAAGAAAAAAATACCTCCATGAATTGTTAAAACATAGTCAGAAAACATGCCAATCAGAGGGGGGGACAGAGTTTTGAGAGAGCCTGGGAAAAGTGGGAACCCCACATACTTGGTTTTGGACTAATGTAAACACAGCCAGCTATGCTGAAGGGGAAGTGATAGAGCTTTTCAGGTGGGACTGTGGGCCCATGGGAGGTGTCGTAGTCAGATTTATGTTTTTGAGTGAATCACCCTGGTTTCTGTGTGAAGGAAGGTTGGGAGCCAAACACAGAAAGCTCATGCAGGAACAAAGGCTTTACCAAGGCAGTCATCAGATGAGATGGCTAACATCTCTTCCTTTTATTTGTGTAGCACTGGGGATTGAACCTAGGGCTCCGCATATGCTAGGCAAGCACTCGTCACTGAACTACATCCCCAGCCCTTTCAGATTTTTTATCTTATTTTGAGACACTAAAAAAAAAAAAAAAAAAAAAAAAAAGATAAAGAGACACTATCTTGATAAGTTACCCACACTGGCCTTAAACGTGAGATCTTCCTGCCTTAGCTTCCCAAGTCACTGGAATTACAGGCATGTGATTTTTTAAAACTCTTCAAGGGCCAAGTTTGATCCACAAAATCAAGAATCATGTGGGACAGGGAAGGCCTATTAATTTCACTCTAAAAGAAAGTTGTTGTCTCAGAACCATAATTTGGGACTGAACAGCTTGCACTGTATCTGCTGTAGGTATGAGTAGCACATACCTGTTTCTCTCCCCACCCCGCAAAAAAACCCTCAGTTTGGCAATGTAGGACTCAACAAAAGCACACAGTTCAACAGAAATTAGCCAATAAGTATATTACATGTTATATCAGCCAATATATTTGGATGGGCTTTGAGAAAAGTGTACTTGAAGCTGATCTATAGTATGTTACTTTAAAGGTAGCTGATAAAATTTTTCAGTTGATCCTGTCTCAAGTTCCCATTGCTGGAAGTGAATGTGAACTCAGTAAAGGCAAAGACTGGCTCACCAGCATCCAGCCTAGGCTCAAAGCCTGCTAACTGAATGAATAGAAGTCATTAGTTGGTTATCTAAGGTATCCTGGTATCATCAGGAAGGGCTTCTATGCTCTTTCCACCATCCAGATCCTATGGTCTAGATAGTGGGAGCACATCTAATATTTCTAATAATTCTCTCCCTCTTCTCTTAGAACATAACAAAGAATCAAGAAATAAGCCCACACAAATGGTTGTCAGTTGATTTTTGACAAAGGTGCCATGATAATTCACTGGACAAAGTATGATCTCTAAATAAATGATACTGGAAATACTGAACCTGCACATCCAAAAAAATTTATCTCAATCCTTACCTGATACCATATGCAATCATTAGTCCAAAATGGATCATGGACCCAAAACCTAAGGGCTGAAGTACAAAGCTCCTATAAGAAATTCTTTGTGTCTTTGAATTAGACAAAGATTTCTTAGGACACAAAAAACATGAACCATAATAGGAAACACTGATAAAGCAAAACTTTAAATTTTTGCTTTTCATAACACACAACTAAGTGAAAAGACAAGACACAGACTAGGAGAAAACTACTTTCTAAATGTTTATATCTGATAAATGACATATTTAGTGTCATGAACCGTCCATGAGTTGCATGTGGGTCACCATGCATGGAAGCCTAGTGGATAGAGACATCTGGTGTCTGGGAATGACCAGTGGACATTTTCTCTGGTCAGTTGCCCAGGGACAATATGAATTTCTATCCTCCTCTGCCATGGCCCACACAGCATCTGAGATGGGTGTGACCTGCCAGGATGTCAATCAACCTGATCACTGTAAGACATCACAAGCAAGACTTCGCCCTTAAACCCTTATCCCTGCCTTTGATGTACCCCCTGAAATAAACCACAGGAGCCATCTTTTCTTTATCTAGTTCTAGAACCCATGTGGACTACACCTATCAGGGGTTTTGCCTTTTGTAAATATATTTCTGAATATTTGCGTTTTGTTATTCACTAATTATTTGAGATTTTAAGTTTTAGGGTGGCTTAGATTCTCCTGGGCAGAAGAGCAGCCCCCCAGTGAGACATTGACTATTGACCCCATTAATCTAGAATATAGAAAGAACTCAATTTAAATAAACAATATGTCAGAGAATATATACAAATGAGATTTTCAGTACATAAATCATTAGGGAAATGTAAATTTACCCCACCACACAAGAATGGCTACAATTAAACAGAATGGCAAAACCAAGTTGGAGAAATTAGAAACTTCCTATGTTGCTGATGTGAACAGAAAATGGTAGAACCATTCATGCATGACAGTTTCTTTGAACATACACTCACCATGTAACCCGGTATTCCCACTCCTAGAGAAATGAAAACACACCTCAAATGCACAAGGCCCTTGGTTCAATTCCCAGCAACACACACAAAAAAAAACAAAAACAAAAAAAACCCACACATGCCCACACACAGACTTGTACATAAATGTTGACATTATTCACAGTAGCCCCAAAATGGAAACAATTCAAGTGTCCATCAATTAGTGAATAGATAAGCAAAATCTAATATGTTCACAATTCAACAAGAAGGAATGGATTGATTATATACAACATATGTAATAATTCCATCATCATGCTAAGTGAAAGAAGCCTGACAAAAGTCCATAGTGTATAATTCCATTTATGTCGTTTCTAGAGGAGGCAAAAGAATAACAGAAAGTCAATCAACGGTTGGCTGAGGCCTGGGGAGGGAACAAGGATTGGCTCCAAAAAGGTAGTAGGGAGCTCTCTAGGGTGAGGGAAGTGTTCTAAAACTATGAATTTACTACCATAAACCAAATTGCACAAAATAGATGAATCATGAGATATGTAAATTATACATCTACATAGTTGTTACAAATAAAAATATGATACCCTGAACACTCCTTCCAGCACTATGGCCCACAGTGGCTTGTACATAGATTTCATTGTCATGTTTTAATGAGTTTACTTGTTAATTCTCTGAAGATGGTGGATGAGTACAGCCTACATTTTTCTTTGGGAGCATTTTTTAAAGTTCTGAGAGAAGATGAAGTTCATTTGGTACTATTTAAACAAGCAAAGTTTTCGGTTATTTTTAAAACATTGTTTTTAGGCAGACTAAAGTGACTTATTTCTATTGTTTTGATTAGATTTTCAACCAGATGAAGAAATGACTGAAATCTTGAAGACTGAATTTCAAATGCGATTGCTGTGGGGCAGTAAAGGTGCAGAAGTCAATCAGACAGAGAGATATGAGAAATTCAACCAGATTTTAATAGCCCTCTCACGTAAACTGGAACCACCTCATGTAAAGCAGGCAGAGCTCTGAAAACTCTCCAGAGAGCCTTTAGGGTATTATTTCAAACTTCTCATCTGATGATGTGCAAATCTCAAACACACGCCTTTAGTATCCACAGGATATTAAATGTATAAATTGCACAGAGCACACTTATTTATGAGTTGTTTAAAATTACTACTGATTTTTAAATGAATGATAATTTATTATTAAGGTAACTATTGCTAACATTGATCAACAAATTTAAGAGAAGACTTAGCTATGTTGGCTGGTTGATTTCTATTATCACAGCATTTGACCATTTTAGTTTGAATTCCATGTCACATAAGTGTAAATAGAAGTGTTTAAAAGAAAAGCCTGAAACATTTCAGAGGTATCAGTTGTATGATATTCTTCAACTAAATGTGAAAAATGTAAATAGTCATGAATGAAAATATATCTTTTTTGTGAAATCGTTGTATATAGTCTCTTCAATATTAAACAACTCATCATAATATGATGAATTCTATCTCCTGACCTCAGAATGCACTTTGCCGCCTAGCCACTATATCCCAATAGTGAATAAGAATTAACAAAAATGGCATGAAAAACTTAAGGTTTCTGTTTTAGGAGACAGAAGAGTAGTGATACAAGAAGTAAGTACTGGCTCCAAAAGACCGAGGTTCAAACTTGAGCTCTGGTGCTTGCTAGTGGACTTTGGCAAACCTATATGTGAAAGGCAAAAGAGTAACACTTTCAGAATGTCATATTTTTCTTTGAATCAACTAATAATTCGTTAAAGTAACATATGAACTGCTATTTCCTCTAGCTAATAAGTACAAGTTTCCTAGCTTTCTTTTTTTTGTGGTACTGGGGATTGAACCCAGGGCTTTGTGTATGTGAGGCAAGCACTCTACCAACTGAGCTATATCCCCAGCCCCAAGTTTCCTAGCTTTCTGACTCCCAAAGGGGATATTTTCTAGTTTGTCAGTATCCTCTCATTTTTTTTCCCATTGTAAAAAACTCAGAACACAATATTTTAAAATATTCTGTCATTCTGCCACTGTCAAACATTGTTTTATTCCTTGTAAATAATACTGGGGCTATACTAACTTTTGTCCATCTTTTCACAAGCTGTGAAAACTACTATATTAAATAGCCTTTGAAAACATGATTTGTTGGTTACAGATATTATACTCTATCTAGAACCAAGCATGAGACCCTCATTGTAATCTGTTTAATGCAGTGGGAATATTAATTTCAAACCTTGTACTATTTTCCTTAATGTGGCCTACAATCATAAAGCCCCCTTCCCCACATTTTAAAAAATACCATCACACTTTTTTATTTACTGGGGTAAAAAAAAAAAACTAAGTACATTTCTTTTGGCAATATGGTGGTTCAGATGCTATTAGCCCTCGAACTAAAACAAAATGCTGATAATGTTAATAAACATACCTTCTACTATAATGTTGAGCTTGACAGAATAAAAAAGAAATCCCCAAAGAACATGCCTTCCCTCCCTGACTCACCCTGAAAAGGTACAGTAAATCTGTCAGAGAACCTAAAAACCTAGGTAGACCTAGAGGCATGTCAGTTCAACAAATGGGAGACTGTTTGGGAAAGCTGAATGTGAAAAGCCCCCAAGTCAACAGAAATCCTGACAGTTCCTATTAATGGGATGAGGAAAAAAAAATCCATCTACCAACAAAGGAAGGTCACCAGGAATAAGGGTTCTCCAGAGAGACAGAACCAATGATAGTTAACATGAACATAGCTATGAAACAGAGGAATTAGCTTACACAACTGTTGGGACTGAGAAGTCCCATGGCAACCACTTTCAGAAACACCCTTAGAGATACATTCAGAAATAGTGCTTTATCAATTCTCTAGGTATCCCTTAATGCAGTCAAACTGACACCTAAAATTAAACATTGCACAATCAAACATGCTTGTCTTCATGTATGGCCATAACTCCAAGAAAGAAATAATTATAATAGTCTTCAGTAAGAGATTACAACCACAAGTCTGTCCTCATACAGATCTGGAGTAAAATTTACAAAAATTAAAACCAAACTGAAATTGATTTATAGTGGTTCCCAGATGGGAGTGTTACTACGTTATTTATATATAAACATATGTGTATATATATTTATATTCTACCAGATATAAAAACTCACTATTAAGCTACAGTTCAAATTAAGAAACTGTCATTAGAAAAACATGTGATGACAAAGTGATCCTGCTGATTGGTGGAGAAAAGGATGATTTTCTACAATAAGAAATTCTTAAATGACTGTTTAAACAAATGAAAGGAGGAAAAAAAATGATTCTTTACCTCATAAAACCACAATACAATCTAGACAAATTATAAACCTACATGTGGAAGGAAAAATCATAGCACTTTTAGAATGCAGAATATCTTTTTGAATCAACAATTTCTTAAATTAGAAAAAGCATTAGCTATGAGGGATTAATCAATATGTAAAACAAAGCTTCTTGACTGGGTGTAATGGCGCATACCTGTAATCTCAGCAGCTCAGAAGGCTGAGACAGGAGGATCAATTCAAAGCCAGCCTCAGCAACGGGGAGGTGCTAAGTAACTCAGTGAGATTCTGTCTCTAATAAAATACAAAAATTGGGCCAGGGATGTGGCTCAGTGGATGAGTGTCTCTGAGTTCAATCCCTGGTACCCTATACCCCCACAAAAAACAAAACACTGGAGAAAAAAATAAATAAAACAAAGAGCTTCTATTTACCAATACACCAGAGAAAAACTGGGGGTAAAAAAAGATATTAGCAACACACAAAAGTGACAATTAATATAGTGCACAACCTCCAAAACAAGCCTTTAATATTCCCTGCCTCCTGATAAAACCCTGTGTTGTCCTTTCTCACACTGTACTAGGATCAGTCAGTGTTACCAACAGCATGGGGGCAGAGGTATCGATGTCACACCTGAGATTAGTTATAAAAAGACTGTAGCTTCTATCTTGAGTTTTCATTCTTTTGGATCACTCACATTTGGAAAAACAAGATGCCACACTATGAGCATCCCTATGGAAAGTTCCACATGGTAAGGAACTGAAGCCTTCCATCACTAGCCAGCAAGGAACTGAGGTCTGCCAACAATCATAAGAATAATCTTACAAATGGATTCTTCATTCCCACCAAGCCTTGAGATGAATGCAATCATGTGAGAAACTCTGAGCTAAAAACCATCTAGCTATGTTACACAGTAATAAATATCTAATACAGTTAGTATCCTTACTAATATTAAGAACTCCCATGAAGAGAGGATGACCAAAGGAAAAAAAAAAAAACAAAACAGGCTTTTCAAAGGAAAACAGTAAACATGTAAAGATGCTCAGCATCAAAAACCTGGGAAACAGCCAGATTTTACCCCCAGTTTTTCTCGGGTGTGATGGTGCATGCCTGTAATCGTAGTTTGAGGAAGAGGATTGTGAGTTCAAAGCCATCCTCAGCAACAGCAAGGCACTAAACAACTCAGTGAGACCCTGTCTCTAAATAAAATACAAAATAGGGCTGGGGATGTGGCTCAGTGGTAGAGTGCCCCCGAGTTCAATCCCTGGTAACAAAATTTTAAAAATCAGGGAAATAAAAATTCAAACTACAATGAATTATTTTACATCCTTTCATCTGACAAAAAATTAAAAATCTAACTCTTAAGTACTGTTAACTCTTATACAAAGCTTGTAGGAGCATTAAAAAAAATTGCAATAACCTTGGGAGCTAAATGTGGCATTATTTTTAAAACAGAAAATTAATATACCCCATACATTAGCACTTCAACTTCTATACATAGACTTTAAAGAAATTCCTACATCAGTAAACACATATGTGAATGTGCATAAGCAACATTGTTTATACTAGCAAAATTCAGGAAATAGTCCAAATCTTCATCAATAGTAAGATGAATAAATGTATATTCATATAATGGAAATACTATACATAATAAAATGAACTATGCATAAACATGGCCAATCTTACAATTTTGAGTGAAACAAGTCTCTAGACACAACAAAAATTCAAAATATTTGACAAGTGGGCTGTTAATAAATTAATATGTATATAATACACAAATGTATAAATCAACAAATAGCTTTTTATTAATTATAAAATTTTAAAGTGATAAAAGTAGCCCAAATCATTTGTGAACCACTAATAATTTTCCAATCATTTGTTGAAACAAATGGTTAGTATGATCATGTTTGCTATGGCTGTCATAAGGTAAATGATGCCCCTAGGATTTCATACAGGAAACTTTCAATGACTTCCCCTATGAATTAATAGTCATTAGTTTACTAATGCACTGTCTATTACCTGATGAGAAGGAGCATGCCCCTAATTCCAATCCCACCTTTTCCTCTCATCCAAGAACAAAGTACCTTCTGGGTGCTGACTATATGCCCAGAGCAGTGGCAGGACCTCCCAGCCACAGAAAAAGTGGAGAAAGGAAGAGAGAAAAAGCTGGTCTTAGTGCGTTGAAACTGGGAGCTTGTATTTTTTGCGTCTCATTCCACACCCAGATTGTCTCCCCAATACCAGCCAATCAAGAAATCATCACTGAGGGATCCTCGAGTGCTGACACATACTGTATCAAAGTAACCTAATCATTACCAAAGAACTGCCAGGGAAACCATATTACAAAGCCCACTTGAAAATATACTGAACAATTCACAACAACCTTCTATCCCAGAATACTTCACCAAGAGAAGACTGTGCCCTAAAATAGTCAACACATTAGAAATCCATCCCAAAAGATGCAGAAATCTCAACAAAGGAATATAATGTGAAAAACAAGGCAACATGATACCTCCTAAGGTTCATAATTTGTCAATAACTAACTCCAAAGATACTGAAGTGGGTGAAATATCAGATAACGCAAAAGAATGGCTATCAAAAAGTAATGGGTTGCCAAAAACACAGAAATAACTGAATGAAATACGGAAGTCAGTACAGGATATGAATGAGAAATTCAATAAACAGAGATACTGAAAGAGAATTGAAGAGAAATCTTGGAAGTAAAAGGCACAGTAAATAAAAATTCAGTTTAAAGTCTCTCTAGTAAAGTAGACTATGCAAAAAACAGACTCAAAGTGGCCATCTTTGAATATTCAGACAGTATTAAAGAAACCAAACCATGACCAAAATATACGAGAACTCTGGGACAATATTCAGACCAACCTAAGTATTATTGGAATTGAAGGTTGTTGAGATGCAGGCTAATGGCATGGATAATCTCTTCAGGGAAATAAAAGAAAAATGTCCAAGCCTTGGGAATCAGATGGACATCCAGATATAAGAAGCGTCATTCAGAATCCCAAATAGACAAGATCAAAAAGAATCTGTCCATGACACGTTATAATTAAAATACCTAACATGAAATACAGAAGAAGAGAATTGTATAAGTCTCAAGAGAAAAATGTCAGGCCACTTTTACAGTTAAGTC